TTTGTCGAATTTATATTGTGTTAAACCATTTGTATTAACTTTAATTTACTTACTGTAATAACTATCACTTGTGTAAATATATTCAATAACTATCTAAAAACAAAAAAAAAAGAAACCTAAAGATATCACACTATAAACCGCACGAATTTATTGGCCAACCTACGTCCGGTTCTGTCAGATTTTTCCCGACCTAACCCGTAGTCTCGGGTACCCGCACATCCCCCGTTGATACATGTAAAGTGTGCTTACAAAACATGCTTTTGCTGTTACAACTAACTACAGGGATATTTTTTGTAGCGACCGCCACAGAGGGCCTCTTGGGGCGAAGAGTCAAGAGCTGTTTTCTAAACCTCTCTGGGTTTTTCGCCCTGGAGGGCACGAGAAATGTTTTAGCAATGCCTCTACTTTCTGGGACTTTTCCCAACGCAAGTAAGGGGCTTTTCAAGTGAGCCCCGAAAAGAGACGAGCAGACAGTCGTAAACCTTCGAGCTACACAGTTTCTCTTCCAAACCATACGCGTCGTTCGCATTCGCAATTTAGCTTTCAAGTGTTTGTTAAAATATACATGGTTACATAATATGGTTTGATTACTCACCTCACGTCCGTTCCAAATTTTATAAAGAGAAAAAATAACAAAGAGTCTAGCCAAATAAGCGTGGTAAAAATGCCCCTAAACCAATTCTATCTACAAAATGAGTCCTTTTGCACATCTTTTTAATTACAACCTGATTTATAGATGTCAGTTTCTTTGCTCGTTGATTATTTATGAATAAGGTGTCATTACTTGATAAACTCTCCATCCTGCAAAAGGACTCATTTTGTAGGTAGAATTTCAAGGAGTGCAATCACACTTTTTTTTTTCACGTGCACGGAATGGTAAAAACTAGTGGTTTTTAATTTTTTTAACTCTGACGCTGGCTCCCAAAATATCTGAAAAAATTATGAGTTAATAAACACGACAGGCATCTTCTACTGTAAAAATACAAATGTTGTCATTTGATAACTTCAGTAAAAAAATTAGCATTTTGAATGTTATTTAATTTTCTAAAAATAGGCTTTTCATTCGAAAAATCTGAAAAAATTCTTAGATATGTAACACTCTGGCTATAGTATCTCAGATTTTTTTCATAATTCTTTATCGGATAGAACAAAAGAAATCAAGTATGAAATGAAAATGATGTTTAGGTCGATAACTGCCCTAATAATAGGGGTAGAAGGCTAAAACTTTGTCAGAATGGATTTTCTAGAAAGCTTTTTTAATTAACGTATCACACGTTTCATTTGGTTTAGGGGCACTTTTACCATGCTTATTCGGCTAGACCCTTTCTGGTAAAACACTGCACAAATATTTTATACAGTCATTTTGGTGTTGCCCCCTCTGGCCACTGCGTATGATGTAACATACAAATACAGTTGGGAATTTACTTACTCGGTATGTGCTTGAAAAACAGAGACAGAGTGAACGGGTTCTCTAAAATCCCATAGACGAAACGTGCTGTCCCTGCTCGACGTAACGCAAAGTCGTTGGGTATGATGAGTTGACACGTGAGAAAGTTCTTGATCGTGTCCACATAGTGTGTGAATAATTTCTCCAGTTTCCACATCGTAAAGATTCGAAGTCCTATCCCAAGAAGCAGAGACAACTTGTTCTGCATCGGGTAACCAGTCCGCAGCCATCACGACTCCTGAATGACCCAGCAATTCTCGCACTGGAGTTCTGCAACAATGCGACTTTTATAGAGGATAAAGATAGCCAATAAATTTACACGTCAAAATTAATCGAGGAACTTTTAAACAAAATTCATCGTAAAACTACTGTTCAAACATCACTAAGTTATTTGTTTTAAGATTTCGCGAAATAGGAAACTCTTATAGAAGACTTTTTCGACGCAACCATTAGACTGCTGACAGAATTGAACTGTATTTTAATGTTAGCGGTCACATTAGAGCTAGCTATACTAACAGATAACAAAGCAATTAGGAATCTACCGCCGTACACTATACTAAATCTTGCAATGGTGAATTTTAATTTAAATAGAGGTTATATATACAGCGGGTGATCAAATTATTAGAGCCACAATACGAAAAATATGCTTTTTGTGTTTGTGTAGAAATAAAATCACAATATCAAGGTTTTGTAATTTTTAATTGACAATTTGTCCACTAAAGAGACACAAAACAGTTAGTGTTTGGTAGCGCCATTTTTTGCTGCAATTACCGCTTTGATTCCTCTAGACATATTTTCAATACATTTGAAATAATTTATTACATATTATAAGGAGTAAAAATACAACAACAAAAATGCTCAAGATCTATAAACCAACAAAACTGTAACACGCAGTTGACAAGTGGCGACTGGCAGTACCCATACAAAATAACGTCCACATGACATTGTGACATGTATTTGCAATCTGCAAATATAAATGTTTCATAAAAAAATAATAAGAATTCAGTGTAACTAGGCTTTCATCTAAAAATTAATCGTTATAATGTAAAACCGTCAATTCTTTACAGGTGGCTCTACTAATTTGATCACCCACTGTAATTACCTCCTTATTCCTCGATCCTTTGTCCACAGAATGTGACTTCAAAAAATGTGGAGCAACGTAGGTAATGTCAGTACAGCAACGACAAAGTTGAAGCGAACTTGCAATACTTATAGGCGGCGGTATGCAATCTGTAAGCTTTACTTATTTATTTATTTTTTTTTGCGATCTTACTTGTGTCGCCCCACATTTTTGAACGTCATTCTGTAGAGAAAGAATCAAGGAATGAGGAGATAATTTTACATTGGTGTTACCTCGTCGGGAACAATAAGCAAAATGACAATAAAGATGGAATGGACTCGCAGAACTTACAGGTGGCGGTGTGCAACCTGTAAGTTTTATTTTATTTTTTGTTAGACCGTGGGTACAGATCTATGAGTAATTGTACGCTATTTTTCTGGACAATACTCGCTATTGTAATAGTGTCCATGCGGCGCTAAACGACGTGCATCATGATAAACTTCATTTTCTTTTTCAATGTTCCCGAAATGACTCTGTGGGTGACGGAAGAATAAACGTACGCGTGCTCGCGCTTGAAATCTTTTATTTAGAAAACCCAGACGAGATGTCTGATGTCGCTCGTGCGACTTTCGGCGGTTGAATCCTTTCGCGTCGTCGGTCGGGACCCTGGCTGCCCTCGGAACGGATCTCAAGTGTCTCCCCGCTTTCCGAGGGCAGCCATCCTTATCGGCCCGCCGCGACATCGACAGCGACGAAAGACACGTTCGTTGCGTGCGTCTCGCAGTCTCGATGGTGTTTACAATATGGCGCCGTGCGCGCTGCATGGGCCGCCACAACTCCATCTTTTTGAAAAGCTTATTTTACATGTCAAAGTTCGAGCAATCTAATGGTATTTTTTTCAGATTGTTTTATAGGTGAGAATAGCATCAACTCAGCACGTGGTTATTTCAAAGTCACAGTGTACCAGGTGATTGAACTTGTCTTGACATGAGTTACAACACTATGAATTAAAAAACATGTAATGCCATTTAAAAAAATGAAGGTGACCATGACTTTTCATTGGAAAAAAGAACTTTTGGAAATTTTTCTATTGCAACTTGTAGGCGACTGAAAACTGATCAACTTTTGTTCAAAACACTTTTTCGTCAGATCACCGGAAGGGCTTGAGAAATCGTGGTAAATGTTATGTAGGAGACCCTGTATACAGGGTGAAGTATTTAAAACAGGTCACCTGAATAACTCACTTGCTTTCGATGATCGAAAGAAATGTGTCAGATCAAATTTACTTGGTTTCGAGGGGCACATAATCTGATGTGAATAATTTTTTTGTAGGTGGAAGCATAGAGAAGATATGAAGGTCAACCCTGTTTTTTTAAATGGAATGGTGTTGTTTTTTATTTACATTCTTATAGAGCGTTTCAAGACGAATACAATGACCTATATGAAGGTCACTTAAGGAGAACTACAATGGAAAATAAATTGCTTAAAGATATTCTTCGAACACTTCGGTGATTTACTCATTTACATAGATACTGTTAAGGGATAACACCTACGTAACTGGCTGAAAATGAACTCTACATTTGGGAATTTTTTGTGATTTTCTCAATGGTGCTATTGAAAGATTATTTGGATAACTTTATTATCCATATTAAGAAGTGCAAAACGTAATTTTTTTACTGCAAAAATATTCAAAATGGCGGAGCTGCAATTGGATGAAGGAGGCAGCCGATCCGGCAAGGTGGTCCGCAGCTAGCAGCATAAGTGTCGTCGTTTTTGAGCTAGAATAAAAAAGAAAAATTTTTATTTTCTTTACTCCAATATCTAGAGAAATACGTAGCCGTTTTTGAAATTATTGATTTTTGACAAAATGGTGGAGTTTAAAAAAAATTTTTTCGAAAAAGGTCGTGTAAAATTACCTATAACACAAACAATTTTTAACTTATCAAAAAAATCCTACGTATTTCTCTAGAAAATCTAGTTTTTAAAGTCCTGTTAAAATTTAAAGTTAATCGATTAAAAATTGTTTGAGTTATACTGCTAGCCAACTTTAAAAATGCTGTTTCGAGAAAAACGCGTTTAAAGTTTTGAATGTAAATGTTCTTTGATTAACAATTGAAATTTAATACTTACAGTGCATTTACATTTAGTCTGCGATCCCAGGACCATAGAGTTGCCCTTCGACAACAAGATTTTCTTCCTTTATCTTTTTTCGCAGCTTTTATTAGACTTGAGCGAGCCTCTTTTGCCGCATCGCTGAGAGATCGGTCGGACAGTTTGGTGCGCTGTTCATAGGCCTCGATGCAGAAATTATAACAATTACAGCCTATAGTGATGCTCAGGACTTGCATTATTTGCATAATACTGCTCATTCCATCGTTGAATAGGCAGACGGCGATGTCAGAGCAAACTTCAAGTACTTTTTTACCGCTCGATGAACTTTTCGGCGCGATCGACCACACGACGGCATTAAAGCTCTCGTTGCTATTTTGAGTAAATCCTTCTAAGCAACGATTGAGCAGTTCATCGGAACTGAAGTCCGCGTACACAGGTTTGATTTCCTCAAAAACCTGTGCTTACATCGCCGGTCTGTGCTTATATCCAATTTATTTGTGGCTTCGGGCATTTTTCGTGCTGAGGTTGTGCGTCTGTCGAGATCTTATGGTAAAGAGTGGCCCATATCTCGTCTCGCATTTTTTCAATCGAATCTGAGTTCCTTCTTATAGCCAGACCATAATAAATTACTAATTCGTCAATTAATTTGCCCGTTAGCTTGCCTTTTTTTCCAAGACCTTTCTTCGATTTTTTCAGGTTCCTCAGCTGCGTACCCATGCGTTTTTGCACGTGATCAATGCACTCTTTTTTAGTAATACGTACGTCTCCGTAAGGCTCAGCATCTAATACGCCTTTGAAAGTTTTACTACCGCCATCGCCGATGTAATTACTGTATTCAACGCCATACAGAGTTTCGGAGCGCTTAAACATTTCGACCACCACAGTTATCAGCATGGGACTCGAGCCACTCCTGGTATTCTGCAGTGTCCTCCTTCTTTTTCCACAGTTCACAAGATTTACAGTACCTGGATTTAACTAGTATATTAATGACCTTGCCCGTGTTCCAGCCGATTAGCGTCACTAATCCAAAGAGCGACGAGAATCATTGTTTTCTCCACGATCCATCGCCGGAGACGGTGAGGCCCTCGGTTTGTCCTTTTTCGGCACTTCATCTTTTCTCTTCTTGCACTGCTTGCTCCATACTTGCCGTATGAACTGCGTCTGTGGCTATAGAGATTGTACGTATGATCTTATCGCAGAGTGACTGAAACATAGGCCGAGGCAGATCCACGAATGCGCAAAACTATCAAACCGTTCAAGCCCAATAAACGCATTCCAAAAACTATCCTTCGATTAATTTCGTAAGCATTTTTTATAAAACTGCAACTGGGAATAGACGTATCGCCATACACGCCGCAAGAAACCACAATTTTGAATCCCAAGCCGCGTTTATTTGCCTCGTAGAATTTTATATCTCTTCCGCACTTTTTGCACACAAGTTGCGAGATTGTCGAAAAAACAGTCACAAAGTTTAATATTCGACAACTGTAAGTCATCCACCTTAATATCTTGCGCACTGTCGGTCAGTTTTAATTTTTTTGCCGAGGTACCAACGCTCTCGCTTTCGGCTTCCACTTCATGATGATTCAAAGGACGCCATTTTTTCGCCCTGCTTCGCCTTTTTGCGGTCGTATTATATTTTGAACCTTTTTTTCGAGGCATATACTTTCTTTGAAATATCACTCATTGTCACTTTCCACAAAACTGTACAAAATAAATAATAAACAATCGTTGTATCAAGTAAAAATCAAGGAGATGCTCGATGCACGTACGGTTAGCGTCCTTTCAACAGCTGTATTAACCGTTACATTTTAAACTTATACATATAGTACTAAAGTCATCTACATGTAACCGTGAAAGCTTTTACCGCAGGTAAAAATATGTGTACCCTATGAACTGTAAATCTTTCGAAGTGCCACACGCTCGCTCGATCCGGCTCACGGCACTCTGAGGTGCTTGGCGCGGAAGCCTATAACTTCAAACAAAAATTTTTTCTGGTTATAAAAACATTTGTACTTCATTGCTAAGACCCTAAAGTGTATTTCTTGAAAATTTTACATAGGTGTTACCCCTTATACCAGTGTTCAAAATGGCGATCCTGAGCGTCGATACACGATCTAAAACGTTAAATGTTTTTTCGTATCTTTATATATCATTGTCATTTCTATATTTCCGTTATTGCTATTCCCTTTCGTTGTTATACATTCTTATTATTTTATATTTTTGTTAAGTTTAAACAATATATTGACTGTTATAAACAGTCTCTACCTTCTACACTTCATTCTAAATTATTTCTATTTTAACCCTAGTACGTTCTTTCGTTCGACTCTACACTTGAGGTTTTTGGGTCTTTTTTGACCCAAAGGTCTTAGGTGTAACAATTTTTGTTACCAGCACTCCATAGGAACTTAGGTAATGAACTTTCGATGTAATGTTAAGGGATAACAGCAAAAGTAAGTAAAAAGATAAGAAGGCGATGGGTCAAAAAAGACCCGAAGACCGTACTAGGGTTAATACCTTCATTATCGTTTTTCACTCACTAAACTACTTTCTAAATAAAAAATTTCATTAAGCAATACAGAAAGTCAAGTTAACTCCATAAACTATACCTTAAAGTAGGAGGTTCATCTTGTTCTTCATTTGCAGTAATCGTACCGCTAAGATTTCTATCAGAACTTAATCCTGATAGATCTTCAGACGAATTTTGCCTTTTAGGTAAGTCCCAATCAACGGCCGCTTGCCACACATGTGTAGAATTATCACCACTTGATGTAAGCGCCAACTCTTTGATAGGATGAAAGCGCACAGAATTCACAGATCCAGAATGACCTACGAATTGAAAAAAAATATTGCATTAATCAATAACAAAATTCTAAATAATTCAGTACATTGTCTACAGGGTGTTCCGTTTATCCAAAGAATATTCTTACAGAAGTTGTTTGGTATATAGGGGGCTGTTAGGTGGTATAAATAATTTTTCTGTAGGTGTAGTAGTGGGGTAGATATCAAAGTCAAATTAATTTTTTTTAAACGCTATATTTTTCTATTTCTAATATTATAGCGTGAAAACGAGACATACAACAATTTTTTTAGGATGATTTAAAACTGATTATTGTTAAGTTCAGTCCGATTCATGACGTGTTTGAACTTATTTTCATCGATAGAACCTCTCCAATCCACTGGTACTGTTTTCATCAAAATAGAATGAAAATTATAGAAATTGACATATTTATGTACTTATGTATATACCTTTCAAGTGCCGCGTCTTGCTTATTCTCGCAATATCTATCTCACGTAGTTTTATTGAATGTGTATATATGTGTGTCGCAGCATAGAAAACGTAAGTACATAGTTCTTCCTGATTTTCAAATATCGTAGCCCATTTCTTAATATTTTCTTCTAATAATTCTTTGCCTAATATTTCTAAAAAAATTTTCTTCTAACTTTTACCAAACTTTTACACTTTCCCACGTATAATACTTTGTAATCTACATATATTACAAATGCATTATACACAACCATATCAATACAGGAAACCCTGGATAATTGCACGAACATCGGGACCCAAACTTAGCAATTATACAGAGGTAGAAACGATTTTATTTCTAAAAACTAGAAACTATTTTAAATCTAGAAATTTTTATCAACAAATTTGTTGCATTTTTCTGATTAAAATGATACCAAACACGATATAATTTGAAGCATATTTACTTACTTACTAAATGATAATAAGTAATAAGTAAATACAATTCAAATTATATCATGTTTGAACTCATTTTAATCAGATAGATCTCACAAATACGTTAGTACAAGTTTAATTTAAAAGAAGTCGAAAATATAAAAGTTTCACCTTTGAATTAGTAGCGGAGACCCGACCAAAACCGGATGCACGGGTAAAACCGGGATCTACTATTATTTTTAAAACGGTTTAAAATATTTCCGGATCAATGCAGCCATTAATTGACGCTATTTACAATAGATTAGAGCATAAACAAAATATGATCACGATACATACATATGTGCCTTCTAAAGTTATAATACTTTTCGTGTTTGTGAGTGCTGTGATCTAATTTTCACCGAATTATAAACTCTATAATTGCTGATATTGTTTAGGAAAGTATTTTTTTAAGAGTCTAAGACAAGTCCACGACAGTCGAGTTAACGAACAACTCAGCTAAACATTCAACGACGTCCATCTGCTCCATAGTCATAGACGATTCAAGCAATAGTTGTGAAGATCTGACGAATCGATCGAGCACGATTATTTTAGCTTATCGTCAACAGCGTTCGTATCAATACATCGTTGCGTTCATTATTTTATCCGGTGTAACGGTCGAACATAGTGTCTTGAGTATACTGGTCTTGGTTGTGGGGAGAGTGGTAGGCCTGACCAGCTCTCGGTTGGCCGGTCGTATCTATGGATGCTGTAGCCTAGGATGTTTTCACAATAACTTGAGCGGTTCTGCCTGTACTCCTGAGACAGAACTGATTGGTGATTTTGTTCATCTCTTGCGATCTCCGGTGGCGAGACTAGTACATTTCGCAGTATGTATCTCGAATCAAGAGGGACCGGCCAAGCGGTAATCGAAACCGCGACTTCCGGACGGCAAGCTGACACTCTACGTCCATAGCCAAGGCGCTCGCTTGATTTCCTCGTTGTTATTGATGAAATTAAAAAACAATGGCGACACTGAATATAAAGTTTTGATTTTTTCGACTTTTCTTTGTCTTTAAGAGGCTGTAAAAATTAGAAAAATATATATTTTTGCTGTGCTCTAGGAACAGAGTTAATTTTTTGTTTTTGCCGTAGTCCTTGCGTTTCTTTCTTTGTCCAACGCCAAATGTAAATAATATTCAAATTTTCGTTGTTGAAACCTCCGCCAGTGTTGCAGCGTTTTTAATGGTTTCTTCTTTCTTCATGTCGTAAATCTTCATTAAGTTTTAGCACACATTCAGACAAATCCCCTGTGCGTTTTGTGATAAATGCCGTCTTTTCTTAATAATTTCTTCACCCTGTTGTATATCATTTCCTTTTTCAGGCTGATCATTTTATACTTGTTCACGACGGTAATCGTGAGAAGAACATGAGCTTTCACAAAGCTGAAACATTTTTAGTATTAAATCACCACTTCACTCTCTCTGAAGAAGCGTAGAAATGCAAATTTCCAATAGATGTTCACAGTTCGAAAGTCAAACTGATTCTAATATGTTTACTGAAAACTAGGTGCAGCTAGAACAATGAAAGTTTTTCCTTCTGGGGGAAGCTGCTTTTGAAAGTACGGTTACAGGTAAAGGTTTTATTGAGGTCTTTAACATCTTCATTTACCTGCTGCTGTTCTGTACAGATAGAAAATGCAAAAAGATTGTGTAGCTTCGGACATAGAAAGAAATTACAAATATTTCAGATAGTAATTAATATTAACATATTTTCCATTTGTAAATGAAATACCATTTTCTATTTGAAATACCAAATCATATGCTACCATTCATTTATTGTTGGAACCCTCAAACAAACTGCCGACTCTTGAGAGTTTAATTTACGACCTCGTTATATCGTGGCTCCAACTATACTTGTTGCCTCTAAAGTGCCTTTTCCTTTTACGGTTGGTATGCTGATTGGCTCCTTTTTTCCCTCTTCCGTCCATCTTAAAACTTCACGAGACTAAATTTTACTTCACGTTTGCGTTCGCTCTTCTCAACACCCGAATTTACAATAAGTTCTCAGTCAAATTGTGTTCTTTGAATACTTTGAACTCTCAAAACAATACTGAGATCGTATTTCCAAGCCATTTCGTGAAGACTATCGCAGTCTACAAAGGTAAACAACGATCCTATGTGCAGATTACCACGCGGTTTACTATTGCGAAACTCCATTCTCCCTATCGTCGGTCTTTAATGAGTCACACTAAACGAACTACAACTTCGTTATTTTCTCGAATACGACTATAAAATTTTAGAGGCATATTTTTAGTGTTGTACTTTCGATATATGCAAAAAAAAAAGAATTTGATTTTTTGGACCTGTTACACTAAATAGAATACCCTCTTGAATTGAATTTTGCCTCTAGCAGTAACAAAATCTTGACAATTATATATTATTTTTGTTATAATTTTGCTTTGCCTATAAGAATAAACACCGCAAAACTAGTTCAGAGTGATGCATTATACAAATTATGAATGAAATGACTTAACACAGATATAAGATCTAACGATAGTTACTAAATATTGTTGGTTCAAGCATAATTCTAATTTTCATGGTTTTTAACGTACTTCAGCAAAATTTTTAAATAAATGTAAAAGTTAATTAATTTCTTGTTCAATACACGTACAAATGTTTTTTTTTTTTACGTTTTTTACATACAAACAAAAACTCTTTTCTATAAATTACCAGATTTCGTTAAAATATACCTTTCCAATGTGAAACATTATTCTGTCATAATCCATAGTTCTATCCACTTTTTCCTCTTATCTATACTGGTTGTACCATGTGAAATAGACCACCTAAATATCTCTTTTAATTATGATAATACGAAAGATATTTCATATGCAATTTGTTTGATGCCAAAGGCGAATACATTCTAAGAAATTTTTTCGGAATTTTTGAAGTCAATGATGTTTTTTTGCATATAAATATATATTTGTCTTTCTCTGTATATTTCACTGTGTTTATCAAACTGTGTTTAAACATATAGAAAGTGTCCCATAAGTATTGTCTAGGTGAAGGTGCCTCTGAAATTTTAAGGTGACCTTTGTTTTTTAAATGAAAGACCAACATATTATAAGTCAATGGATGCTAGGCGTGAATGAATTTGTCACGCCTAACTAAAAGAAAACATATTCCATATAAAAGAACAAAGGTCATCTTGAAATCTCGAAAGCACCTCCATCTACTTAGACAAGATTTGTATCCATAATAAGATGTCCCTCTCCAAACAGAGTAAATTCTATTTGAAACATTTTTCGGATAACGTGTAGTTCGAGAAATAATTGCATGGAAAGATTATAATGGGACACCCTGTATAATAGTATGACCTTTAAATGATATCTAGCTTCCAGAATTAAAGTAAATTATGACTGTTTTCATCGAGATTTTCAGGCAATGGATAACTTCAGCAGCAACATGAGGTGATTTGTAAATGTAAATAAACATATTCACTTCTTCATATTCATATCTTCTGATGCTGTACATTGTTCCTCATAAAGTTCTTGTTTTAATGATGCAGAATAATTATTTTGCAGTATATTTTGCTTTTCACAATCACATTCAAAGCAATCGACATAGTATAAAATGTTCTTATGAAAATTTAATTACTCTTATCAAATGTTTTTAATGTTACGCATTTTTATATTTTAATTATTTTTACTGAAATTGTGCAACCAAAAAATTTAAAAATAATGCATGATTTTTTAAATAAATAATGTAGATTGAAAATGAAGACAAAATTGATAAATATCGATTGTATATAATTTAAAGAAAAACTAACCAATATATTGCAATAAGCAACGTCCACTATCCACAGCCCAAACTCTAGCAGTGTGGTCAGCAGAAGCTGTGGCAATAATTTGCCCTGATCGTCCAACAGAAACTTCCCAAACTCCATCTCGATGTCCAAAATATTCTCTTTGCATACTACAAGTCATAGTTGGTGTTTTAAAACTGGAAACTATTTTACTGGTCTGGGCCTTCAATTTATTAGAAGTTGTTTTCGTTTTTGGTGCTGAATTCCCTGCCATAGCTGCAAAGAACACATATTATTGTAACATTTAAATCAAAATGATAGAAAAATTGTAATCTTATTTACTAAACAACTCTATATTTACTATAAACTGCCACAAATCTTTATGGAAACTATTAAATACAAATAATTCTTTTTGAACCATATTTCTTTCATAAAATAGACCAGGTATTAATAAATCTTTCCACCAAAAGAAGAGGGAAAAACTTCTGAATTATTCAGACTAAAAATATTGAAAACTTGTACAAAAAATTGTATGCTTAAATTAATTCACATTATTTTTGTACATTAAAGGAGCCACATTTAAACCATAAAACATTTCTTTACCACTATTCATTACATTTTCTTTTACTTCTATTTATCAGGATATCCTAGTAATCATAGTACAACCAAGCTGTAGGTGATTCTTTATGAAAAATTAATCGAAATTGTAGAATAAAGTTTTTGCATACATGAGGTTTCGCTTTTAAGAAAAACAACTTTGAATACCTGTCAGGTACTGTATTATTAATTATACTATAATAGAAAAGATATTATTAACACGTGGCTATTGTAATGAGGCTGCAAACTATCTTCAAGTGATTTACAAAATTTGGGAAACATATTAAACGACATTCATATTTCTTTAATTTGTAGGCCAAATGCTATATTAATAGCATTTAGGCCAAATAACATTGTAATAATATTTATAATGTACTAAAAACTGAAGTGCAACACCTATTTTATGATTTTAAACATATCACTATCAATGCCTATAAACAATAATATGGTTCAAAATAGTTGATAATAAAGCAATATAATAACTGCTGTATATTTATGCAACAAATTTTCAAAATTTTCTCATAAAATTTTATTTTGCGATTCCGATTCATTTTTCGATTAATTTTCGTAAGGAACTACCCTCTCGATTGTATTATAATTACTGAGGACACCATGTATAATAATATAAATGTATGCACTATATGAAGAATTTTGTTAAACCACAAAACATATACACAACTCTACCTTTAACAACTTTAAAAAGAACAAGGCCTAATATATTTGTTTTATGAATATTGTTTTTATATAAACTTCTAGATGTAAAGAGGAAACTAATATTTTAAATATTAGCATTCATAAGATAATTCTTGAAGTAATAAGCATTCTTACATTTCTGTTTGGAAAGACCTTTTGTATCTGGAAAGTCTGCAACATCTCCAAGAGGTATATTCCTTTCTCCAGAACCATAACATTCTCTTTCCAGTCTCTCATTAAGGGTATCTATCTTCTCTTGCACTACATCAATAAATATTTAAAGTCTTAATTAATTACAATTAAATTTCTACATCAATTTTTGAAGATATGAAAAGAACCTTAAATTTTAATAGTATTACTTATATTGACAATTTAATTAAAAAAAATTTTTAAACAATAAAGACAATTAATAGCAATATGAGTAATTAAACAAATATAATATTACATGCAGAATAATTTTAAGTAAATATTAATAAAATAATCATTAAATGGAACTAAGTACCACATACAATGTAGCTTTTCATTATTTTTTATATAACTTGACAATATTAAAAGCAAATGTGTTTCTTTGATATTGTTTAATCAATCATACATCCTTTAAATAAAATACTACATTTTTATTTCATAAAACTAAAAA